ATATCTGGCTGTTTAATAAATTGTACACAAGCATTCCATTCATCTACCCCATCCTCCACAGTTCAGAAAATGTAGATTACAAAACAGAATGTTTCTTTGACCTTGAGTGTGAGCGCCAAGGTAACTTGGACCAGACAAGGTAATTATTCCAAGGTAATTCTGGACCCAGACAAGAATGGTTTTTGCTTGTTTGGTTACCATAATCATCCCTGGCTTGAGGAATGGACACTTCTGATTTGGGGTGAGCTGGCATTTGATCTGTGCAGGGATACAAAGCACAGGAGTCAGAAGAAATTTCTTTATTTTTATATTAAAAAAATATATATGTATGTCTTCACACAGGATGTGTCAAGTACATGGTGAATGCTAGCCATGCTTGGACATAGGAGTTGGGTAGTCTCTGATCTCCTCAGCATATGTAAGAAAGCTGGAGCCCTGGCAGACCCAAAAGGACTACTGCATATTCTTTAAGGTCCCCACACAGTGCCTTTCTCATCTCCTTTAAGGTCCCCACTCAGTGCTTTTCTCATCTCCTTTAAGGTCCCCACACAGTGGCTTTCTCAGGGCTCTTTGCATGAATAGAAAGCTCCTTCCGCTCACATTTTGTTTCTTGTGATGTTCTTTGAGGAATTCCAGCAAAAAACTGGATTGAATACAAACACAGCTCCTTCCCACCTACATGTTCCCACAACTGGTCTCGAAGAGTACAGATGAACATGATAGCCATACTTGATTGATTTTATTTTCATTTTTTATTGAAAGCTTCATCAAAGAAAACAAATTTAAACCTAATATCCACTGATCTACAGAAAGCCCAAGGGATAGGGGAAATGGTATATAATTTGACTGTGATACAGATGAGAAATTAAAAATAAAACCAGAAACACCATAGAATTACAGAACTTTCCATGATAGTCAGAGACAGTGGTACAAAAATGCTCTTAAATAAAGTTCAAAACTAAATGATGTTTCAGAAGTCCCATGAAGTTGAGTATGGCCTGAAACAAGGGTTTTAAAAGAAGCTGTGTCCTGCTTTTCTTAGAAACTGAGTATCTCTTAACAAGTAGTTTCATACATATTTTTAAAAATTAAAATTCTAATCATATTCTTCTTGTTTTTAAATAAGTGGAAATATTTATTTCCAAAACGAAAAAAAAACTTTCAAATATTAAGTATCTCCTTGAAATAATTTGTATAGTTCCTGAAAGTTACGGAATAGCTCCTTTCTGGGTATAAGTAAATAACACATTTTGGGAGGAGGACAGAGCATCTTTCTGAATAATCTAAGACAAGATGGTTTAAAATACAAAGTATAACATTAATGTTACACTTTGAACTTATTTAAATCGTGATCATTAAAATATCCACTGGCATGTCAAAGTCATTTGTTCAGCCTTAAAACAGTAATGTGAAGTCAAAAAAAGACAAAAACAATGCATTTTTTGTCAAAGATTTAAGGTAAAGATAAGAGCATACATTTAACCAAGGGTTCCTGTTATATTTCTGTAACAGAAACTGTGTTGATCTTTTCTCCTGGTTTAAGTTTCAGTAGCGTGAATTAAACAAAAATAATTTTCTTTTGAAGGAAGCCAAGTTCTTTGCCATCATTTTTTCCTTTACATTCTGCAAAAATACAGCCAACTCTCAATTATTTGTGGTGGATGGGAAAAGGACCATTATCGGTTATTGAAACCCATGATAGATAATGCATGGACATTAATTTTACCAATGATTTAAAAACTTCTTCAATAAAGCCAATACTTAAGAAGAAATAAACTAGACTGTATGGAATTTTATTTCCAATTATTTTCTTTCACCCTCAGGGTGAAACACAAATGAAAGGAAACAGAGCCCAAGGCCCAGTCATTCAGAAAACAAGACAAAAACACATCCACAGAGTAATTAATTAGCCCTTCAAAAACTGAGAGTGATTGCATTTCTGCAAAAGTCAGAAATCGGAACAGTGTCAAGGAAAGCTCAAGTGAGACTCGGTGGCCTGTGTTTCTTGCTGCAGACTCGGCGCTCCATCCTTCTGCTGCAGCTTTAGTTTCTTGAGTGGAAGAAACTTTCCTTGTTGCATTACTTTCCCACCCAGAAATACACAGCAGTGAATACTGAGAAATCATTCATCCCTTTTTGTGACAATGTACATCTTTATGTCTGGGGATAAAATCAAAGCTAAAAGAAATCATTAATCTGGGGTGAGTTTCCCTCCTGCACATCATACAGCATCTTTGGGGCCACTTGCAGATTTAGTAATTAGCTTTTGCACTTCATGTAATCTGCAAAGAAAGTTAGTTGGGTTAAGGGACCAATTTCATATTTCTGATCAATTAACATTTCATATGATAAACTTGAGTCAGACACAGTTGTCTTCCAATGCCAGGGTGGATACCATTTGTAAGATACATTGTTTCACTAATGAAATCCCATCTTCCCCTGGACACGGAAAGGGTACAATGCAGGGAGTCAATGAGCCTGTCCAGATTCCCTCTGCCCCTCAGGCTGAGCACCAGTGAGCTCACAGTTTTGAACCATGCCAGCCACAATAACACGGGAGAAAAAAATCCCACCCTTTCCTCCCTACTGTGCTCAAAATAAAGTAGATCAAGGTTCATATTGTATTAGTTTATGCTGTGTGAGTCCTCCAATGTGCTGAGTGTCATTATATGCAAGTATAAATATTGGTCCTTCACTTGATTTGAAATCATATAAAACTATTGATCACTGAAACCCACTTAAGAATTTCTCTCTGCTTATCAGCTCATCTGCAGTCACTCATGCACTCAGATTAAGAATGAGACTGAATTATCAAAAGTGTTTTTGTTCCATTAGCTATTGTCTAGTTCATCTAGACAGCCTATTAAAACTCTCCTCAATCCTGAAAAAGACTGTGAGGGTCCTATTTAAATCAAATTCCACTTTTCATTAATGGGGATTTTAGTCCACTTTAAAAGATATGTAGGTATACTACACTTGATCTTAGCCAAAAGGCTGAGAAGCCATTAAAAAGATACGTAGGTATAGAATAGATATTCCAACTACTCAAAGTTTTTTGGAGGAACAAAAACTCAGTACAGTTTTTGGTCATACATGATCTGAAAGTTATTTTAAAGCCATTTTGTGATGGGGTCAGTGATGTATTCTGTTGCCATAGTGAGATAGCAAACTTCGTGCTCAATCTAGCCATCTTGGCTCTCAGACTTCCATGTCTAATGGAATGCTTTTAACCTAACCCTCTTACAAGGGGGTGGAAGTGAGTCATATGCTTTCAAAGGTGCCGATCTGCTAATATCACAAGAAGAATTAATTCCAGTAAAATATGGAAGCAATATTCTGAATTATTGAAATTTAGCAAGGAAATGAACTAATTAATCCTGGTCAAATTGGAGTCAGGTCAAAGATTTTCTTACTTTCTATATGCTAGTCACGTCAGCATTGAAGTATAAACTGTCTTGAGTAGCTGCTAGCATTATCTTCAGTTTACTTAGGCTCCATTACATTGTCCTTGGAAGACATGGCCCAGCACAGGAAGCTTGCCTCCTCGGACATCCCCTATCACTGTTAAAAGACTTTTGCATTAACCATGTAGGTAGAGTTTGGAGGCTGGGTTCATCGTGCTTAATCTGTTTCCTAATGTGTCAGCTAAGACTTTGCAATTAAAGTCAAAAAGAAAAACCTGAAACATTGCTATAACTACCTGACAATTTGGTGAATCAGAAATGAACTTCACTGTAAAAAAAAAAAACTGGCGATAGTCCTAAATAGGATTAAAAAGACCATACATGTTGTTGACTAGATAAGATTCTGGTTGCATATTTTGAACACGTATTTTAGGTTGTTTTATTTCATGCAATGGGATTCTGCTTACCTGTTGATGCTTTTTTTTCCCCAGACTGGACTCTTGAAAACAAGTCTTAGGTAAGATGACAGAAAAGGGGGATGGATTTGAACATGTGCATTTTTTCGTTTTGATCTGAAGTATTTTAAAGGATGGCATGATATAAACAATCCAAACCCAAAACTCACATAAACATAAAATGACAGAGTAATTTCCTTTTGCCTGAAGTGGCTTAACAAATTGCAATTACTGAAATTTCATAGTTGAAAACTGTTTCTGAATGTACAAATAAAACAGCAGCTTTAAAAAGAAACAGGAAGTTACCCAGGAACATTCATCAGCCACTTGGTAGCTACCAGTTAGCCTCATTGTAGATTATGAAAATGAGACTTTCTTTGTATCACATTAAGATATGTTTTTGGTATTTTTTTACAGAAACAAAAGAAAGCATGTTGGTCCGTTTCATATTCAAATGAATGATGCCCAGGATAATCTTATTTATACAAAGAATTCAGAGAGTGAAAAAGAGAAACTTATCACTCCCCCTGTAATTTAAGGGCCCATTTTTCAAAGATAAAACTTAAGTGCCACCCTTGCTAAATGGGAAGCTAAATGATGCAACAGAAGAATCCATAATTCTGGGGTTCCGTTGAAAGCATGGAAAACCATTAGCATGGCTGTGACCAGCTGGATTTCTCTGTAGTGTATGAGACGTTTTCTTGTATCCACTTTTGTAACTAGTTTGATGGCAAACATATGAACTCACTCTAAGTCTGAGCTTTCAATTCATGGGATTGCAAATAAGAGAACCAGGGTTTGTTTAAGTAGTGGAATATATTGGTAATTTCACATGATTCAAACTCCTTTACTCATGTTGACCACACGGGAATATGGTTTACCTTTTAAATTCTGTAGTTTTTAAAAGTCTACCCTGTTTTCTTATACAGTGCATTCTACATTTCCTTTTTCCTTACACACTGACATTTCTTGGTCTTATTTACAGATTCAGTCTGTAAATACAGTTTCACCTACTTTATTTGAATATTTTATTCAAAATGCAATTCTAGTGAATGGTTAAATTAACAAAATTCTGTTCCATTGTCTTTCATTTTAGGTAAAACTGTATAGTTTGAACATGGATTTGATGAATCAAAAATGTAAGGACATTTTCTAGGTAAGTTAATTTAATTAATTTTAGACAAAGTTTTGCATCATTCTAAATGCAAATATCTCCTTTGGCTTTAGTGATTGATCAACCCTAATCCTTTTGGTTCTTATTGATATAAATCATAAAATATCTTGATTGTCCACTAGCATTTTAAGAGCCTGTCTATGTTCCATTAATAAAATCTTCAGTCTCAATGGCTCCACTTGCCTCAGAGAATTAAACTGAAATGTAAAGGTCTATGTTGTCTTTCAGCAACACCTAGGTATGAAAATAGGCAAGAAGAAGATACCCCCTCTCCAACTGCAGAATCAAGCTGGCTATTCATAGTGGATGATGACAAAGACAGTTGAGAAGACAAAACCTGGAGGTGTTGGAATATAGCAGGAAGACTATTGTTACAAACACAGCGAGACCTTCTCAGGACACCACTTTGCATTTTACACAATATCACTAAGCTTTTCTGACAAATAACCTTTCAGAGACCTTGAAGACCATGTTCTGGAAAGATCATTAGTTCAAAATTCACATAAAGAAATTCCAACCTGTTGAACAAGTGTCTTGGCTTACTGGTGGCCATCAATTCAGGTTTCAGTGCTGAAGAGAGCTCGCAAGGAGCCAGAAACCTGACAAAATTGGAAGCCACCTTGCTCTCTCAACCGGCATCCAGACTCTTCATGTTGACACTGCTGAACACTGCAGGTGCCAGTTTCTACTATCAACAAACATACATTTAAAAAACCAAAAGAAAATTTTGTTTCATAGTATGTAAAACACCAGTGGAAGGTAGTTTAAACAACGTAAGAACTGGTCCGGCCACATAGGTCAAATAAAATTTTTAAAAAGGAAAAGAAAAGCAACGTCTATCGTCTGGACTGTAATAGGGTGTCATTTCATCTTTGGTATAAAATAGGCCATCCATAGGCTGAATTTGATCACAACTAGGAAAGACTACAGAAATTGTCAACAATTTCTCTATCTATTGCTTTTTTTGTTTTTTATTTTTTTGCACTTTTTGACCATAAGCTTCTATCTACTTAAGTTTTTTTTTTAATGCTCTTAAGCTAGGTTTTGCAATGTGACAAGCAAAGCTGACTAAAAACTCTGTAAAGCTCATAAAAAAGGCTGCAGATAAAAAGCACTAATGCTTTTGCTAGCAATCACGCTTTGTAAATAAAAAAAATCTGCATTCTGCCCCCCAACACGCATTATTTCTAATGCAGTTGTTTTTAAACCAACATTACTAACTTTACTGTAAAATGCTTCAGCCTTCTAGAATGACTTGTGTCAACACTTGAGACAAGGTTCATGAGGAGCCCCAGCATTTCCCAATTCTTGCCGTTGCCATGGTTTCTTTTATCAACAAATTTTCTTCAAATGAAGAAAAACATTTTCTTTTAAACTGTACAGTTTCTTCACCCTAAAAACTCATAGTCTTAAACATTTGTACCAGTTAAAGCTGGCACAATATTTCAATTCTTTTTGATTTTTTTTTTAACAAGACGTTGACAGCTTGCCTCGAGAGCCTTTGACGTCCTTAAAATTAAGGCAATTAAGATTCAAGATAAACCTTACCTAAATATTTCTAAGAAAAAAATAAAATAAAAAAATCAACCCACTAGGTTTAAACAAGAAGGAAACAAAAGAGAAAGAGTAGCTTGATTACTGAGGAAGACAATTTGTTTTCATTTCTTTTTGCCCACCTCTTGACATCAGGTTTTATTTTGTTTAAAAAAAAATCTATCTACACCTTCAGGTAAATTCTGAGTTCAAATGTTCTTCCAGATTAAACATCAACTTTTGATGTTTTTTTTTTTTCCCCCTTCTGGGATTTTTTTTTTTCTTTAAGTAAAAAAAAGAAAAGGACGGCAAAAATAACTGGCAGACCACATGAAGGAACCATTTGCACAGCACATAAAAACTTTGTTTTCATTGAGTAAAGTATAAAATTAAAAAAAAAAAGCCTTCCATTGACGCCTGTGCAAACTGGAAGCCAACTAACTTCTCGTTCAATGAAGTTCTTCATTCAAGGCAAAGTTTCAGACGGACATTCTTCAGTTCTGTTTATGGTCTGTAAAAGCAATTGAATAAGAGTGGTCATTATCTCAACACAGCTTTGAAATTATCTTCTGTGCTCTTTCCCTGTGAGGTCTCTTTAGCAAGCTCAGTCAGGCAAGGTAGTTTACTCCTGCAATCCCAGCTACTTGGGAGGCAGATACAGAAAGTTTGCAGTTTAAGGCCTTCCCAGGCAAGAACTCAACAAGACCCTATCTAAAAAACAAGGTGGGCATGGTAGTACACACTTGCAACCATAGCTATTTGGGAAGTAGGAGGATCCCTGTCTGACCAACCCAGGACCTTATCTGAAATATGAACAAAAGTAAAAAGGTCTGGGGGCATAGCTCAAGTAGTAGAGTGCTTGCTTAGTGAGCAAGCACAAGCCCTGAGTACTGCCAAAAGTAAGAGAGAGAGAGAGAGAGAGAAAGAGAGAGAGAGTTCTTCACTATAACATGATCATACAAGAAATAATAAGGCATAGTAGGCCTATGAGATTGTCAAATTCTGTCATTTTCACATATATTCAAGCCAGAGAGTTTGCTTATATTAAAGATCAAGGTTAAGAGGCTGAAGTATCTTTTGATTCTGAAGCAATCCATATCATAAAATAAATATACCCAGAGAGACATCTTGCCTGCTATGGTTTGGTTTGTGTGTATCTCCTAAGGGCTCATGTGTATCTTGATCTCCAGTGTGGAGATGTGGGAGGTGGTCACATAGCCTAGTGGCAAGTCACCATGACTTTTGGATTAAGGCAGCAGGATCTTGGGATCTTGAGTTGGTTTTCGAAAGAGCAAGTTGTTATAAATGAGCTAGCCTGAAACTTCCCCATTCTCAACACAGTTTTGAAATTATCTTCTGTGCTCTTCACTTAATCCCTCTAACACTTGCTCATCACTTAATCCCTCTAACACTTGCTCCACCATGATGCTGTCTGCCAAGGAGACCCTCAGCAGAAGCCAAACACATGGAACTGCCCAATTTTGGACTTTTATCCTCTAAAACTGTGAGTTAAGTATACCTCTTTTCTTTATATATTAGTCTGCTTCAGTTAGTTTGTTACAGCAACAGAAAACAGACAAATACAATTCCCCATGTGCATGGAATCTAGTTCTTAAGGTCTGACTTCCTTTATAATTCCTTCATAGTTTCTTAAAGCAATTATATCCCTTCAGAGCTACCATAGGACTGATTTATAACTAACTCAGTCAACAAATTTGTGATTCTCTACTATGTATCTAAGATAATTGAGATGTATGTTATCTTGTGGTATTTTACAAGTATGTTCAGGAAAAAAGACAGACAATTCTTCGTCCTTGTTTGTTGCCTTCATCCAGACAGTTTTTCTTTTCTGGACATTGTAGTGTGTGCCTGTAGTCCCAGCTGTTTGGCAGGCTGAGGCAGAAGGTCACTTGAGCTCAGGAATTCAAGGCCAGTTTGGGTAGCATAGTAAGATACCATTTCAAAAAATAAATAAATAAAGATTATAAATTCTTGAGAACAAAAACTATATTTAACTGCTACTCTTGACTCTCCAGGAGTCTGGGAAGTGGTTTTCCCAATAGGTGTTTAGCTACACAAATGATACTGCACAGCCCAACTGGGGTAGGCAAAGCCCTCCTGCTTCTGTAAGTGGCAAAATTAAGATGCTGGTGCCCATAGGCTAGAATATCAGGCTAGGTATCACACAGTTTAATAGGTTTTGAGGGCTTTTTGTAAATTTGAATAAGCCCCACGCATTTGCTCAAGGCAGATGCAGCCCTGTGCCACCCTCCTCCAACAATGCATCTTAAGCCTTGAGCAATCTGTGCACCTGTACCCTGGAACCCTGAATCTTGTTGATGACATTAAGCAGCTGGGAATCAGAAGATCTGTGAAGCTTTTTGCTGTCATACTGTTCTCTGAGGGAAGTGGCTTTCATCTAAATGTGACCTGTAGGTAGTGTAAGTTTATTCTTTGCACAGGACAGCTCTGCAATTATTTAAGGAAATTCTAATCTCCTAGAATTCCATAGGAAGATGGCAGCACACACTCTAATCTTTTAGGAAATACGTTATTTGGACTATTTTTCTGGCCCTCTAAGGAGAGCTAAGAGTTCTCTTTTTCCAAATTTGCATAAAGTCATCATGTGAGCCAGTGGTGACTATTAGGAACCCAATTAATTTGTTCCTAGAGTCATATAAGGAGAACAACTGATTGATAGACTGAATATTTCAATTTTTTACAAATAGTTGAAGTCTCTAGGAATAATTTTTTTTCTCTCCTGCATTTTTTCCAAGAAGAAATGAAATTACAATTTTCGTAATAGCAGGAAAAATAAGGTAACTTTTATTAGTAGTAGTCATGAGAACCATGGCCTATATTTTTCTTCTCTGTCTTTGCAAACTATAGACATGCTGCATTTATTTCTAAAATCTATCTTTCTAGCATATTTTGTTTTTGAGTTTGTGTCTGTTTTGATTTTGTGGTCTGTTTTCTATTCCCAATCCCATCTTCCATTGTGCATTGAACTAACACATCATGAATCTCCACAACAGCTGTTCACTGACAGGATCTTACTCGGGGACTACTGTGTCATAAAAGCCCTCTGTGTGGTGCTTGAAGTGCACTGAGCTCAGAAGTACCAACTTATGAGCAAGGCTGGAGCTCTTTTCAGGTTTTACAAATGTATACTGTTTCCAGTCGCCACTCCCAAAATCTGCTTGGTCCTTCAAGTGCTTCATTGCTACATGCAAACAAATGTGGAGAGAGAAATGGTTGCACTTTGCATATTCATGTTTCCTTGCTGAAACTTGTGGAAAAAACATGTTGCTATTTATCAGAACTGAATTCACTTCTGGCCACCTTCTCTGTCTTAAATGCATATTTACAGAATGCTTAGGAATGGTACTGGTATTCATTAAGACAGAAGGATTCTCAATTTTCAAGGCTAAGGTCATTAGTTAATATTTTAAGGTGGACAATGAGATGAAGTCAGTAAAAAAAATAGGTTGTAAGAATAATTTATGTGAAAGAGGTCAGTATGAAAACCATTTGCAAACTAACACACTGTGCACATAGAATGTTCTATGACTCACAGGCATAATTTGCACATCATCAATGTTCTGAAAATGTACAGGAATTTGGTGTGCATGACAGTTCAGTCAGCCAGTGAAAAGCTGAAGAATAATAAGAAATTGCAGAGGAAAAGAGCTTTTTGGTGTCAGAGTGAATGTAGATGGAGGGGTTTGACTGAACTTAAGAACACAGAGTCATTTTGCATCATCTCACCAACCTCCTTTCCAAAAAGGCAGAGTGACTAGATTGGGAAATTACAAATTATTGTCTCCGAAATCTAGCACTTTAGAAATCTTGAAGATCATCTAATGATTTGGTATTTCTCATGGTAATTTCTGACAGATTAGCATCATGGGATGCTATGTAAAAAGAAAAGTTCTGTGATCCAGTTTGGGAAAAACTGCACACTATGTGGATTATCCACAGGTGAACTAAGTGGCTAGGGAAGCAAAATAAAGAATTGTTTTAAAAAGAATATAATGTCTTACATTGGCATCACAATAGTCAACATTTAGACAATCAAAATTTAACATACATATTTTTAAATATCTTAGAATTCCATAGGAGATGGCAGCACACACTCTCATCTTTCAGGAAGTACATTATTTGGAGTGTTTCTCTGGCCCTCTAGGAGGTCATGTTCATTAGTACTGTGGTTCATTGGCTTTAGGATTTCTCCCAGCTTTAAAGCCCTGCATTCCCACCTGATTTGAGCAGGAAGTGCTCAGGGGCTTCCTAACCCTAACTCACTCCAGGGCATGAAGAAAAACCTCCCCTTCTCATCAAAGAAGTAATTTATACTTTTTGAGAACAATGGTCTAATCCTCTAGCTTTAAAGAAGAAAATCAGGCTCCAAAGAATTAAGAAACTGGGAATCACAAAAGTGGAATTTGATTCAAAGTCTCCAAGTTCTGCATATTAGAATTTAATTTAGTTTGAAGGCCTATTTTTTTTTTTTTTAAACCTATTTTTAAGTTTCCCTACATAACAGAAATAAAAATAGGTAACTTGGGTGGAAAATGGAATTTTCGACCTAACCTCTATTTATCATTTCCTCCTTCTGAAAAAAAGAACCCAGAGTAGTCTTTGTATTAGTAACTTCCTTTAACAATGAGAACAAACTCTCATAAACAGAAAGTGAAAGTAGTGGGTTTTAGTGGAATTTGGAATATTAAAATATTTGCTAATCCCAAATGTAGTTTGTTTAGTCATAGGTAGGTCATTCAAATTTCTCAAACTTTTCTACAGCAAACTTTGGTTGTGATGACTGTAATTGACACTCTCTTTAGTATAGACATTTGGGTGTTAAATGTACATGTGATGTGTCAAGCTACTTTTCAGGGGCACTGGGCTGCCCTAATCAAACTTTCACACCCCACAGGAGGTCAGCTAGCATTTAATGAGAAAGGCCAGAGGTTTGCATAAGTACGTTAAACTGTTAAGCTGTCCATATCTCGATTAGCATAATGACTGTTAGAAATGGGTTGCCTGATGAAAGTAGTAGCATGTTAATTAGCATAATGATGTTAGAAACGAGCTGCCATTAGTGAAATTTGGAGTATTTAAGATAATGTGGATTAGCTAAATTATTTTAGAGAAACTTTTCATTATACTAGAACTGGAAAGATATAACAAGAATTTGGAAAAATCTATAGACTATAACTAACTTTAGGATATTGCTTGAGGCTTGATTTCAAAATGGAACTGTCATGGCATAGATTTCTGGTGGCCTTTGTATGGAAAATATAGTCCTACATCTAGAAAATCATCAAATCTAAACCGAATGAATTTTTCATGTTAGGTATGGTCAGATAGCTTCAAAGAACGCAAGCCAATGTCTCTGTGGGTGCTTTTGCATCCCTCAGACCCTCCCCAAGGAAGGTAACCAGTTTGCATGATCAAGGGCTCAGGTCAACTCTGTGTCTTTCATTCACTATTTCGTTATTTCTATTGAAA